GACTGACTGACTGACTTGACTGACTGACTTGACTGACTGACTGACTGACTGACTGACTGACTGACTGACTGACTGACTGACTGACTGACTGTCACGTGACACACACACACCACACACACACACACACACACACACACACACACACACACACACACACACACACACACACACACACACACACACACACACACACACACACACACACACTCACATACAAATGAAGTGCATAGAGTTTTCAACTTCATTATCCTTTTCATTCCCTTTTTTTTTTTTGTTCGTCTTTTTTCTTCTAGTTACCTCATCTTCCTTTTTCTTTTCTCTCTTCTCTTCTTCTTCTTCTTCTTCTTCTTCTTCTTCTTCTTCTTCTTCTTCTTCTTCTTCTTCTTCTTCTTCTTCTTCTTCTTCTCTCCTCCTCCTCCTCCTCCTCCTCCTCCTCCTCCTCCTCCTCCTCCTCCTCTCCATCATCTTCTCATCCATCACCTCTTCCTCCATGTCCTCCTCCTCCTCCTCCTCCTGCATATTTTTTTATTATTGTTATTATTATTATTTTTATTATTTTTATTTTGCAATAGCACATCTTATTCACTCTTATATATCCATAAACATGTAACTTATTGAACGTATTTATTGTCCTTTTATATTCCAAAGACATTGTCATTGGAAAGCCAAGATAAGATTATTTCATACATGTGCCGTTTTATCATCTCGATAGTGCAGCACGCTCACACCCCCATCACACTGTACGTTTGTTGGCACCATATCTGTCCACATTGATATCAGGGCTGGATTGGCCTCCTTGGTTGACGGGTAGATGCCATTCGTTTCGAACTATTGTTGTTGCGGTTGATGGGTTGGTGTTTCTGGTTGTTGTTTGTGATTGTCGTTGTCGTCCGCATTCGTTATGAGGAATGGCAACACCACCGTCCGTCGTTGTTGTTAATTTTGTTTTCGTTGTTGTTTCTGTTGTTATTATGGTTATGTCCATCATAGCCATTGATATTAATACTATTACTATTACTATTTCTATTTCTATTTCTGCTACTATTACTATTATTATCATTATTGTTATTATTATTATTATTATTATTATTATTATTATTATTATTATTATTATTATTATTATTATTATTTCTCTTCTTTCCAGGGATTCCCGTTGTGTGTTGTGAAGGGTGATGGTCCAGGAAGTGAGGAGAACTCGATGAAAAGTGAATTAAAGAAAAAAGAAGGGGAAAGAGTGCCAGAAAGAGAGAGGCAGGAAGTTGGGTTGGCGCTGGACCGCCTCTCCCTCTCCCTCTCCCTCCCACCGCCCTCGCGCCTGCACAGAAGTTCGCGCCCGCCCTCGCCGCCCACGACCGCGATCTGATGCGGGTGGTTGACTGCCCCCGGCCGCTAAGAAGACCGCCCCGCCCCCCCTCGCACCTCACCGCCCCTCCTCCTCCTCCTCCCTTCCCCTCTCCTCCTCCTTCACGCCTTTATCTTCCTTTCCCTTATCCCCCTCCATCGCCTGTTGTCCCTCTTCCTGCGCTTCCTTCCTCTCCTCCTCCTCCTCCTCCTCTGACCCGCTCCTCAAACATGCGGTCCAAACACTAGCAGTGAGAGTGTGCGTTCCTGCTTGGGTTCTCGTGCTCGTGCGTGCGTGTGGGCGTTCGAGGAGGCAGCGTGTTCCCAGTTCCGTGGGCGTGGGGATCATCAGGTGGAACGGGCGTAGCGGAGACGGAGGCGGTGGGCGGCGCGAGGAGGCGGAGGAAGGAGCGCGAGTGGATCATGCGGCGTTGGTGGCGGTCATTGTCGTGGTCGTCGTCGTCGTCGTCGTCTTGGTGAAGGAGAGCCCGATAGACAGACTGATAGAGAGATATTCAAACAGTCGGGAGGCGCGGTGCTTAGTTCGGTGAGTTCGTGCACCCGACCGCCTGTGTTCCGCTGCCGAGCGCGTCTTCGGCTCGAGTCCATCTCCAGGAGCGCACGGCGTTCGTCCACTCCGGCGGTGGTGCGTGAGGCGAAGGACGGGCCCCGCTAAGGACGCGAAGATGGGCTGGCGAGTGCAGTCTTGTTGACCTTGGACACGCCGCGACCCCCAACCCCACCACCCTCCCTCAACCCCCTCAATTCCCCACCCATCTCCACAATTTCGGTGACCAACGCGGCACGTCGGGACGAAAAGCGACGGAAGTTCGGTGTTGTCCAAGGGCAGAGGAATTGCAGAGAGAGAAGCGAGTGAGTGCAGGAGGTTCAGATAAAGAGAGAAAGTGAGTGAAAGAGACGGAAAAGAGAAAAAAGAAAAGAGAGAGAGAGCCGCTGTCTGAAGAAAAAAGAGAAAAATAACCTGTGAGAAATCGTATTTATTGCCGTTTCGTGAAGTGCTCGACACAAACACAAAGAAACCCGGAAGGCGGGAAGAGAAAAGATACAAAAAGAAAAGAAAGAACAAGTGAAGGAATAAGAGTGAATCAGAAAGAGACTAAAGAAAGAGAGAAAGAGAGGGCGAGAGACGGTGCGAGAA